GTCTGCTCCGCTAGACTACATTCTGCCTTCTCTCGGTCGTTTCGGGACGAAAGTAAATTTGATCACAATTTAAAGAAAGCTTACAACATGAAATTGAAATGCATTGAAATAAACTTGATCATTGATTACTTGAAAACTGAACATTATAATAGACGAAAGCAGGAAATTACAATAGTTAGTGCAGAGGGCGAACATTAGAAAGCTTGAAAATATTTGAGAGACCAATACCCCCTATAATAGATTTAGTAACAAAACCCGATTGACGGGAGTAGACGTTTAAAAGCCGAGTAATCATACAAAACTTTTCTAATTTCCAATTATTTTACAATTAAATGAAATATTTACAATGCGTGGTCAAAGTTGGGCAAACTGCGGCTGCGATATGATCACGGAGCTTAAGTAAAGCTGCAGTCCGTGACACCCAAACACTCAAGCCAGGATAAAGAATTGAACTTGTTTAGGATTTGAACTTGTTGCATGTCTTGTACTATTTGGATTTGTTGCATAAAACCTCAAAACTTACCAAATCAACAAGGTACACACAACTAAACGAAATCACTCACCTATGTATATACTAACTACAGGGCGTACCAAACCAACTGACAAAATAACTCAGTGACCTGAGGCAAGTAAATAATATTGGAAAAATTTGAAATCGTAGTATTTTGGTCCATATTTTATCTACTTCAACAACTCAGAGCAATATAGCATTTTCTCTCTTCAAACTCTTCTAAATCTTAACTTAGGGAGCATCAAGATCATGATCACGAGTTTAGGCACGTACACTAGTATTAGAGAACACTTGTCATGACTTGATGAGCTACATTTGGTGAGAAGCTCAATTTCACATGCCCTACCTAGATTTTCCAATTTAGGAAGTTCTTAATTTACACAATCGAGGTTAATTGGATCCCAAAATCTAGGGCGATGGATTTAAATAAGGCCAGACGACACATCGAGGTTAGGAACTTCACGGAAATTTCAATACGTCCCTGTCCGCAACCACAGTTATCCTAGATGGGTGTTTTGCTCTAATACCAATTGTTATAACCACATTTGGGTAAAGTTCAATCGTCTTGAGTCAGTCATCTCAAAAACAAATCTCTTCGCCCCCTCAGATCACAGAACCACGACCACTTAAGTTTAACTATGTTGCGGATTTTCAACCCTAAACCCGCCAGTCCTACCTTAATTGTATGTTTTAAGCGTACAATAATACAATCATGGCCTCCCTTTCCTCCAACCACCAAAGAAAATGCAAAAAATAAAATCACGATCAAGGGACCATGAAGATTCAACAAAAAGGTCGGTGAAAATGACGAAAAAATGGAAAACTGGAGCTTCGTTAGTCCTCTAGAGCGTGTTTGGAATATTTTAAGCACAAGATCAAATCTTTACTCATCTATTTTACATAAAATTTCATCAAAATACCATTTATTACACAAAAAAAAAAAAAGGAAAAAAGAAAGAGGAGATGCAGGAGATTAAAAGGAGAACGACCATTATAGAAAGAAACCATGAAGATTGCATGTAAGACAACTCCATTCTCAAAATTTGTATGGTGATAGCAGAAAATCTTGATTCAAGTAAATGAAACTTGTAAAATATCAGCTGCAGTTACATGTTCCACAAGGATGGCATGGTCAAAAGACATGCATTGTCGTTTCATTTGAGAAAAGTACATCCCAAAAACATGAAAACATATGCTACCAATGATGTTAGAAGTTCAAGAGTCCAGGTGGGCTGCAACAGAAATGATGGGATCAATGGAACCAAGAAAGAACCGCATATCCAGCCGACAACAAGAGCCCCAAATCTGCCATGAATAAAACAAAAATTCACCAATAATTAACTCATACACGATTGATCAGATATTGGGGGAAAATAAGATATCAAAGCTCGTCTCCCACAAAACTCACCCAATAATAGCAGCTCTAGGCAAGCTCTTGGTCTTGTCATTGAGGAAGTATATGCAAGCTGCCAAAGACAACGCCACCTGTGCAGGCAATAATTATACATTACCAAAATTTGCCAATTTGTAATACTCCAGTTTTGAAATTAAATTGTTAGTACAGATGTAAACATAATTACATAAGCATTCTCCCGTGTCGACACGACATGACATGAGTAGGGAAATGAAATACGGGTCGAACACGGCAAATTTCAACCGGACACGGCCGAGGGCGGAACCTGTTGGACTGCTGCTGCCATTGTTGCAGAGCCAGAAAGTCGTGTGTTGCAGGTTTAGGGAGGAGGAAGAAGAAGAAGGGTTGTTATACTTGGACCTATTTTTTGTTTTAATTTTTGGGCTATTTAGGCATTTTTTAAAAATAAAATTATCCATTGTGGTTGAAGTAGATTTATAGTCTTGCGGCCTTAATGGTTGAGTTTTTGAGCATTAATACTTGATGATAATAAGTTGAGTTGGAGGGGGAATTGGTTGATTAAATGGACTTTTAGGATCAATTGCTGCTATTGTAATTAATTATGTCATTTTTAACTTTTATTTTAATTTTGTACTTTGTCGTGTCAATTTTTTTTTTTGGGTTTTCAGACTTTTATTATAAATTTCTAGTTGATTTTTAACTGACATGTTTATCTTTTAACAATTTGCAACTTAATTATTATTTAACTTTTTACATATAATTTTTTAGAAAAAAAATTGAAGTTTCAAAGGCGTACCCGTGTTCGAAATTTAGACTCTTTTTAACCATGTACCCATATCCTACATTAATTAAAAAAAAAAAAAAGATTCAACAATTAAATACGTACCCGTGCCCGATACTCATACCCCAAACCGAGCATCATAGCTACTATCCGACATGACATGTGTTGGACGCTAGCATGCTACCCTAGTAAAACTTGAGGTAACCATGCTTTACCCAATTAAAATGTAAGAGATCACCAATCTATTGATTTTTCTCCCAGTCCATGCCCCACCACCACCACCTGCAATATTAAGATTGACCATTTAAGGTTTCCTAATAGGTGAAGAAGGAAGCCAAGTCTATTACTCACCACTGATCCATCATAAGTAGTGTCCCCAAACATATTTGAATCAAGCACCTCACTCAAGTATAATCAGCCCACTAATATCCAATCCCCCCTCCCCTCCCTCCCCATCCCCACATGCACTGTACTGGGAGTGCACCAAAAGTAAAACTCAGGCCACAAATTATACCCAGAATGTCAAATGAAATCCCAGTAGGGATCTATAGCACACCAGTTACAAACTACCACTTCTGTCTCTTCACTTCAGAATTATAATTCTACAAAACTATAGTCGTTAACTCAGTACAGCTACTACAATCTACAGTTATGTATCATTCAATCAGTTTCAAAGATTTTTAGGATTCATCCCTTTGAGTAGCTCAACAATCATATGATTTCAATTCTGCGATAGGTAAAACACAGAGCGAAAAATATCACAGATAAGTATCCAGGATTGATGAACCAACCTCAAGTATGTCCGCATCTTTAACGCCCCAACAACATCTGACCGGATTATTTGTCCATTGCTGTTGACAAGTATATTAACACTTTCTACAACATCCAAAAACACCTGAAGAAACAAGAAAATGCTGGGTAATCATGTCATTCAAAGAATTAGCTAGAAGGCTAGTAAGAAAGACCTACTTCATTCTTCTTGTAACTTATCCCTTCACTGCGCCAGGAAACTGCATTTGTTACAGCCATTGGAGGCCTCTGTGTAACTTCCATCCTATAAGCATCAGTCTTGATGAATTCACTGAGAATTTTTGCTTCCGTATATTGAGGGTAACCGAAGTCCATCATTTCATCAAGTAACTCGTACTGTCAGAGGCACGAAGCATCATCAGTTCTGGCAGATCCAAATGATTATTGCTTGTATATTTCACTGTAAACTATCAATTTGAAAGAAGAGGTGAAAAAATTCTCTTACCACCACAACAAAATTATCTCTAAGGGATTCTTCTTCCAACTCTTCAAAATAATGTTTAAAGACCTGCGATCAGTTTGCAACAAATTGATAAATTATTTAAATTTCATGATGTAAACTAGATTATAAAAGCATACTGAAACTATTTTACTAATGAAGCTTACATCAACAACACGGTGTAGAAACAGTAGAAGGCTGGCAGCATTGCAGTTCTGCCGAGATGCAGTCATGAGATAAACATTATTGTGTTGTATAAACATATACGTGATACCATTATCATATACAACAGGATCTTGAGAATCCGACTCACCCTAAAATAGAACATTATACCACACAATTTGTCAGTCCTTCTGGTTCGCTTTTAATCGAAATACTACTTTGACAAAATAACAACTAAATAGCAGGTGTGCAGCAAATTTTAGTAACATCAGTCTCAGATGATACAGTAGAAATTTCAGATTTTTCTCCAGTCTGAATTATATAATTTGATGTCATGTGGTTTTTCATTTATTATGTTTTACCCATGTTTCAGATAACATAAACTTCCAAGAACAGAGCCATCAAAAATAAGTTTTAAATTTTGGGGGAAAAGGGGAGGAGATAATTCTTGAACACGTGTCCTTTGCGAACTATATTGTGACAAAATTGTTTAATCAAAGGTTCAAATGAACAGAACTAAGACGTTATACCAAATCTCAGATCAATCAAATCACAGGACACTATTATCTATCAAATTTGCCATTTTATTAAATAAAGTTCCTTCTTGAAGGGCAAATAATCATTTCAATGAAGAGTGAAGTTTCGGTTTAGAGTGAAGCTATATCTTGTATGAATTGAATTATCTACTTGTCTTTCACCGGCATTAACTAAACCATCTAAGTAGTCAAAATCTACAGCAATTCGGTCCATTTTATCCATAATTTTAATCAAGCTTTTGCTTTCTACAACATAAATCAATTGAAGAAAATGAAAGATCAGATCAAGTTTAAAGTTTTCCATACAAAAGAAAAAGAAAAATCATTTAATTAAGCTCATGCCTCCATTCAGCTTCAATCAATCCATTCAAAACCTCAACATTCATCAAAAATTCATATGACATTGAACAAATTATTTATAATTACCAAAACCTTCATAGCATAACAAAGTCAGTAAAATCACGAGCAGAAATCAGTAAACTATTCCTTGATTTCAATAGAAATAAAAGTTCAGTATCAATTGAAGAAAATGAAAGACCAGATCAATACAAAGTTTTGCTCACAAATTCAATGCTCTGCACTACACTTGACTCAAAAAATAAATATATAAATAAATAAATCAATCAATCAATCAATTGAAGAAAATGAAAGATCAAATCATGCCAAAGTTTTGCTGACAAAAAAAGATCAAAATTAAGTTCATGCCTCTATTCAGCTTCAATAAAACCATTTAACACCATAAATTCATCAAAAATCATAGGACATTCAACAAATTATTCAAATTCTCAATAAGTAAAATCGAAAGCAGAACCAGTAAACTAGAAATGAATGAACAAGCAAATGCCTCTTTTTCAATGAGCTTGGTGAAGAAGCGTTCGGCTTGTACAGCGGAGACATCCCCACGGTAGTCCCGCCACACAAGAACCCTCCCCTTTATGTCTAGTAGGAACAGCGCCGATGCTGCTCCCGCCATTAATTTCCTTCTAATTTATTTACTAATCTTCCTCAAAATTCAATTCTAGACAGATCGCAACAGATCAAAAAGATTGATGAATAAGATCTGGTAGGTAATTTGTTGATTTAGAGTAAATTTTAAGGGAGAAATTGGAAGAACAAATCTCTTTGAAAATCAAATCATTTTTCTTTTCTTCTGCAATACTACAACATAAATGGAGATGAAATATGAGAAATGCGAATCACAGAGTGGGGTTGCTGAATAATGAACGAAGAAAAGAAAATTTTCG